AACCCAGGATGTAATAACAACTGTAGTTATCTCCATAAACCTAGGGAGCCAGGGACACTAGCCAGTGCCTGGTGCCATAAGTACTGTTGGCTGTGTACGTGGAGCAGTCAGGGCCCAGCTGAGGGCAGCACACGTCAGCTGTGGGAGAGATTCAACATGGCCCAAGTCAGTTCAGGTGCTTGGCACTGGGTAGCAGGAAGAGGAGCTGATCAAACAAAGGCTGATGGGGATAAAAGTGTCTAGGTGTTGCAACTGTTCTGAGAAACCAGGAGATCAAAGCCTGAGAAGGGAGAAGGGGGTCAGTCTAAGGCAACAAAGCTGAGGTTCACAGATCCAAAGTAAGAACAGAGTAGGATAGAGAAGGGTCTGGGGTGGAGAGTAGAGAGAGACACTTGGCCCCAACCCCCTCTAGGCTTTCAATGGGCTCTACTAGGTTAAGCCCTAAGAAGTAAGATATTTAAAAATGCATCCAAGAGAGGTGGCCTGACTTGGTGGATAGAGAGCTGGCTTTGGAGCCTGGAGGACCTGAGTTCAAATCCTCCCTCTGACAAATACTGTTTGACCTGAGCAAATCACTTAACTTCTCATTGCCCAAAATAGTGCCTTTAAGTCGTTTTGCCAGACGGAGTTCAACATACCAATAAAATCATAGGTTTCATCCAATAATAATCATAACAGTCATGCAGCCAACTATTAAAATACACAAGATGCCAAATAAGTAAAATAATGTGAGAGCCCAGCAAGATACTAGCCACTGTCAATCTACATGACAGATTCATTTTTTGCTCTACTAGCATTTTTAAAGCGCCTATTATGTCACATGTTCCAGGACTACAAAGACAAGCATGAAATATTTCCCGCCCTCGAGGACCTTGTGTCTAGGGGAGAAATAATGTGTATACCTATAGACTAGAGCCCAGGGGTGGGGAACCTGCGGCCTTGAGATCACACGTGGCCCTCTAGGTCCTCAAGTGTGGCCCTTTGACTGAGTCCAGGTTTTGTGGAACAAATCCTTTTATTAAGGGATTTCATTAGCATAAGAAGTTCCTGGATGAGGAAATTCCTTTTACCAATTCAGGTCAACACCTTCTCTGCAACTTATGGTCTTGGAGAGTTGTTTTAGACATTCAGAGGTGCAAGTGATTTGTCCAGGGTCACACACAGTCAGTATGTGTCAAAGGCCGGGTCCTGAACTAGTCTTTCTGCCTTCAAGGCCAACTCTTCCTCTACTAAACCTTGTTGCCTGTCACGTACATATGAGTAGGATCGTAGATCAAGAGCTGAAAAGAAACTTAGAGTTTATCTAGCCCACCTCTGTCATTTTACTAATGAGGAAACTGACACCCAACTGTTTTACATGACTTGTTCAATGTCACACAAGTAGTAATCACCGGTGGTCAAATTTGAACGCAGGTCCTCTGACTCCAAAGCCAGTGTACTTTCTACTGTACCGTGATAACTTCTATACAGCATACTTAAGAAAGGACAAGGTGATTTCTTGCCAAGCTTTGTGTAAATTGAATTTCTGTAAACAAATGCTATTTTCCCATTTGCTATCACCGGAGATATTTAATCTTAATTTCTGATTGAGCACCTCAAATATGAAACTGCCCATAGGTAAGCTGCTGCTTAAAGGAACCTAGAATCCATTTGTGAAATGAAAACTCTTTTTGTAATGTAAATGGGGCCCTTCCATTTGTTGGTTTTCTCCCCGTTTGCTGTTTCAGGTACCCAGGGCACATCACAGGGGAGCAATGACTGGCTGGGTATTTCTTTAATCCTTCTCTGATTTACCAAGACTTGCAGGGTCAGCAGTTCCTTGAGCCTCAGTCAGTGCAAAAAGATTCATGTTCAATCATAGTTTCTGGTGCTGGGTCAGTCTCCACTCTTTTTACTTCAGAAATTAAATGCTCCAATGGGGCAGAGCACGGGCTGGCCTGCGGCTTCTCTTGAGGAAATAAATCTTGGCATGAGGCAGTTGCTCCCAAGGTGCCATTCCTAACTGGCTCACCACTGATGCTTCCATTACTCACTGATGGATTTGGGTTTTGTCCTAATTGAGCAGGATGTCAGAAAGGAGCCTCCAGAAGCGAACACAATACCATCCTTTGTAGACTTGCTTAAATCAAACCACACGCCTGCAATAAAAACATCAGAATACAAACCAGCCCCATAAACTCAGTCTCTGATAGCAACCCCTCCATCTGGGCGAGCCAGATTGAAAGTTTGCACTTGGATCACTCGAGGAAACAAATGAAAAGAGCTGCAGTGGCTTGTCAGCCACAACAGAAAGGTGTGGAAGGCCCCTACAAAGAGACTGTAACTGAAAACCAGATGGCTAAAGGTGGGACAAGTCTTGGAAACCTGCAGTCCAGTCAAACTGGTTTTCTTACTAGTCCTCACACATGATGGTCATCTCCCATCCCCATGCCTTTGCCGAGGCCATCCCCCATTCCTAGAATGCCCTCCCTTATCACCTCTGCCTCACAGGATCCCTCCATTGCTTCAAGGGAGAACTCAATCACAACCTTCTAGATGAAACCTTTCCTGATTCCCCTCCCCAACTAGTACTCTCCCTCCAAAACCACTTTGTATTTAACCCTTGTTTTTCAGTCATTTTTCAGTTGTATCCAACTCTTCATGACCCCATTTAAGGTTTTCTTGGCCAAGATACTGGAGTGGTTTGCCATTTCCTTCTCTAGCTCATTTTATAGATGAGGAAACTGAGGTAAATAGGGTTAAGTGACTGGTCCAGAGTCACACAGCTAATAAGTGTCTAAGGCCAGATTCAAACTCATGAAGATGAGTCTTGCTGATTCCGGGGCTGGTGCTCTATCCACTGAGTCACGTAGCTGCCTTGTATTTAACTACTTTGAATTTATTTGTATTTATTGTGTATATATGTATATGTGTCCTTGTGGTCTTCCCCATGAGAACATATGCTCCTTGAGAAGAAGGATTCTTTCATTCATTATATTTGTATCCCCAGTGCTTTGCACAGTACCTGATAAATGGTAGGTACTTAATAAATGCTTGTCAGTTGGTTATTTGGTTGGATGGTTGACCTAATAAGACATACAGCATTTGGTAGAGGAAAAGACAGATTTGTGAAGACATTAAATAGCTTGTATATGGTCAATCAGTCAGTCAATAAACATTTATTAAGTGCCTACTATGTGCCAGGCACTGGGTCATGGACTGAGAGCAGCTCTCTGCAGCTTGGGAGATCATAATGTGATTGGTGTGCACCTAAAGTTTCAGACATGACAGTGCCAACCTAGAAAATCTGGTTCTCATGGCCAGAGGATGACAAATGGCTTCCTTGGTTGTCCCAATCAAGTATTATAGGAGGAGGGGGGTGGGAGAGTAAAAAGTAGCTGGAACCAAAATACATCAATATTCCCAAGTAAAAGTTGACTCTGAAGGACAGGGTTTATATTTCAAAACCCTTCCTATAAAATTATCTCACTCAATCTTCACATTGACCCTGAAAAATAAATGCAATTTTTATCATTCCTATTTTATAAATGAGGACAATGAGTTTCCAGGGATTAAGTGACTTGTCCAGGATCACAAAGCTAATAAGTATTTGTGGAATGACTTCAACCAACATCTTCTTAATTCCAAGTTCAGCACTCTGGCCGTGATGACAACAGTGACCTATGATGGTCACCTTAAAGTGCTATGTGAATGTTAACTATTATTTTTCTTAGGGCAGTTAGGTAGTGAAATGGATAGAGCACTGGGTATGGAGTCAGGAAGCCTTATCTTCATGAGTTCAAATCCAGCCTCAGACATTTACAAACCCTATTTGCCTCAGTTTCCTCATTTGAGCTAGACCAGGAAATGGCAAACCACTCCAGTATCTTTGCCAAGAGAACCCCAAATGGGGTCACAAAGAGCAAGACACAACTAAAATGACTGAACAATAACAAACCATTTTTCTGGCGGGGGGGAGAGGAAGATAGTACAGGTGGGAGGAAAGGAAAAGAAATCCCTCATTCACCTAGACAGTTCAGTGTAATGCAGATAGTCTGGAGGATTTGTAATTAGGAAGATCTAAGTTCAAATCCTGTCTCACAAACTTTGTAGCAGCTGTGTGACTTTGGGAAAGTTACTAAGCTCTCTCAGCCTCGATTTCCTCATCTGTAATATGGGGCCAATCATAGCACCTACCGCAAGGTTATTTTGAAGACCAAGTGAGATTTTCTTTCTAAATGGTTTTGCAAACTTAAAAGTACCACACAAATGCTAGCTATTATTAAATACTTGTCGATTGACAAAACAAAACCACAATTTTAAATTTTTATGTCAATATATGTGCATATGCTAATATATGTACATATACATATATGCAAATATGTATATGTGTACATATGTATATGTTTGAACATATGAGCCTCACTACTAATAGTAATACCCGACATTTCTATAGCACTTAAATATCTAGTAGTCAATCAACCAACAAGAATTGATTGTAGTCTCACTACGTGCCAGGCACTGAACTAGGTGTTGGAGATACAAGGAAAAAGAATGAAACAGGGGCAGCTAGCTGACACAGTGGATATAGCATCAGCCTCAGAGTCAGGAGGACTTGAGTTCGAATCCAGCTTCAGACACATGATACTTACTAGCTGTGTGACCCTAGGCAAGTCATTTAACCCTGATTGCCTCACCGAAAAAAAAAAAAAGAATGAAACAAACTATCCCTGCTCACAAGGGACTTCCATTCTAGTTGCAAAACACTCAACATACATGATCTTATTAGAGCCTCACAAGGCCATCCTACAGAGATCGTCATTTTACAGGTGAGGAAACTGAGGCTGAGAGAGGTTACTCATCTCTGATCATACCAGTAGTGGCTAGAGATGGAATTTAAACTCTTTTTTTTTCTGACTCCAGGTCCCCATGGGTTTCATGATACCCCACACAACCTCAGGTCCTGAGAACACCTTTGTCCCCCTGCACTAACCAGTATCTACTTCCTTACTCTCTTCCAGCTCACATACCTGCCCCCTCCTTGGGGAGAATGCCGATCTTCAGAGATGGGACTCGATTTTTTTCCTGTTTACAGTATCACGGCTTGTAGGATTGACTGTGAAACTCGTTACATTGTGGAGAACTGTAACTGCCGGATGGTTCACATGCCAGGTCAGTGACCTCCAGGAGCCATGGCGGGACAGGGAGTGGCTTTCTGCTTCCTGCCATCACCTAAACTCTTTCCCTGGACTCCTGGACCCTGGCACCCCAGATTCATTTTCCCCAAGTTGTTGCCAATCAAAGGTTCTGCCTGCGTAAAATCAAAACATCAGACAAATAGGAAAATAGTCCATCAACACAGAGCACAGACTGAACATACAGATAACTTGGAAACATCCTGCTGTTTGTAGTTTTTCTTTTATTCAGGCAAGATGCCAATCTATTACCAAGTAATCCAGATGACTGGGCTGATGTCAGCCATAGAGGCTCTTAGCTTAAAGCATCACCCAATCAACAAGCACTTAATAAATGTCATCTATATGCCAAGCATTGTGCTGGGCACCAGAGACACAAAGTCAAAAATTGATTCATTTTTAAAAGAAGTATACAAAGACTTGTGTTTTGAGGGAACAGTGGGGAAGGGGAGAAGCATTTTGTAGAGACAGTGAGGTGATGCAATGGATAGAGTGCTAAGCTGGAATCAGGAAGACCCAAATTCAAATCTACCTTCAGATGCTAGCTTTATGACTCAGGTAACATCCATCTGTCTCAGGGTCCCCAGCTTTAAAATGGGGATAATAACAGCACCTAATTCACAGGATTGCAGTGAGTATCTAGTGAAATAATATTTGTAAAGCGCTTAGCACAGTGCCTGGCACATAGCAGGTACTATATAAATTCTTATTCCCTTCCCTCCTCTAGACCCAAAATCAGAGGTTCTTGGAGTCTGTGAACTTTTTTATATTTTAATAACCTTGTTTCAATATAATTAGTTTCCTTTGTAATCCTATGCATTTTCTTTTATGCATTTAAAAACATTCTTCTAAGAAGGGGTCTATAGGCTTCGCTAGACTTACAAAGGGGTCCAGGGGGACAATAAGCATTAAGCACATTAAGAACCCTAAAGCATGATATGATTTGTCATTATTATTAGAAACCATATTTTTATCCTTCCTCACCTACTTATTAGCTGTGCAATCTAAGAAAGGCCTCTTCTCTGAATGGTTCTGTGATGGAGACAGAATCACATGCAGGTTTCTGAGTTGTTTTATCACTGTTTTCTGTCCATGCAGGGGATGCCCCTTTCTGTACCCCAGAGCAGCACAAGGAATGTGCGGAGCCAGCCTTAGGTCAGTACTCTAAGCTACTTATTTCTCTCAGAGGAAGGGAGAAGGAGACTTCCCTTCTTTAGTAACAGTGGGACAAGGCCAGGAATGATAGTTCTGAGCACCTGGGCTTTCCATGAGACAAACCTTATGGAAATAAGTTAATGAGAAAAGGAAGGAAAGGAATGGGAAAAGATGGAGAGAGGATAAAGAATGAGAAGAAAGTTAATAAATAGAGAGAGAACCAAGGGATAGAGAGAGGTGATGGGGAGTAGAGAAAGGCATCCAGAGATGGAAAGAGGTCCAGGTGTTGGAGAGAGAATGAAGAGCAGAAAAACCCATCAGGAGAGGCCATGAGCTAGATAGTGAACTGAGGACCAGATGATGGCAAGTGCAGAGAAAGCTAGGAGCCAGATGATGGAGAGAGAATGTAGAGTGAAGAAAACTCATTGGCTGGAGAGAAGCCCATGAACTAGAGAATAAATTGGGGACCAGAGGATGGAGAAAGAGTCAGGTGGTGGAGAGAGGGTGGGAAATAGAAATAGGAAGGATTAGGAGATGCACAGATAGAAAGAAATGATGGCCAGAAGATGTGGAAAGGGCCAAGAAACAGAAGATAGTGAACTAAGGATCAGGTGATAAAGTTAGGTAGGTATGTAGGTACTTAGTTAATGGGGAATCGAAAGAGAAAGGGCTAGAATATGGAAAGAAAATGGAAAGTAAAGTGAGGACCAGAAGGTGGGGAGAGGCCAAGGATGACGAGAAGATGGAGAAAGAAGTTAGGACTAGGGAAGAGGAAAAGATGAGGAGTAGAAAGAGTAACAGAGAAAAGTGATGTCTAAGGACTAATGTGAGAGGAGGAATGGAGAGATACCAGGGAAATTAAAAGAAGAGAAATACAGATTTGGGGAATCAAAAGAATGGTAAGAGATGGGAAGAACACGCAGGTGAGAGAACCCATGGGAAGAGAGAAGACAGAGGATGGGGGAGTAGAGGGAGAAATGAGAAACTGAGAAAGATCTAGGGGAAAAAAAACCATTTTTGAGTCACAAGCTTTACTGATGGTAGGTAGGGTCACCTGCAGACATAAAAGATGGTACATTACGAAGAAGTAGAGTCTGCATTTTATGTGATTGATTTAACACAAAGAGGACTCCATCCCAGTTATCCTACGTGAGCTAAGGTCCCAGGGCCCAAAGCCTTGGCCTTCCTGGCACATGTCCAGGCCCCAGGAAAGGCAGGAATAATGATGATAGTGCCTGGGGAACCTGCTGGGAGAAATAACGAGCAGTCCAGCTAAGGCCCCAAATTTCTCTCCTCTCCGAAGCAGCCTTGCCCAGCATTTCACAAAGCGGTTTGCAAACGCATGAACAGAGAGAATTTTTAAGCAACGTCTAACTCTTTTTAGCAGCTTCAGAGGAGACTTCTGAGTGCCTAGGAGCCAGAGGGAGGTAGTTCTGGACTCATGTTTTGATCCCCCCAGAGCGTTGGAGAGCCTGCTGTGTGGCTGGGGTTGGGGAATGAAGGGAGAGGAAACAATTGGCAAAGATCTGGAAACTTTTCTGAATTAAGAGTCTGATAGAATCCACACTGCCCAAAGGACAAGGTGGTATGATGCTGAGAAAAAAGTGTTGGATTTGGAATGAAAGGGCCCAAGATCAAATCCTGCCTCTTCATGCCCTTGGGCAAGTCACTAAACCCTCTCTAGGCCTTATTTTCCATATCTATAAAATGAAGGGGTTGGATTACATGGCCTGTGAATTCCCACCAGCTCTTATTATGATCCTCTAAAAAAACTGTACTGAGGAGATTAGAAAGAAAAGGAAAGAAAGAAAAAGCCAAAGATGAGAGTAATGGTTAATGCATCTATCAGTTGGCTCATGGACACCATATGCCACAAAACATAGCCTCCAGGTGGGTAAATCTAACTTGAACTGTCTCTCTTCCACTCCTCCCACAAAGAGCTAAAGGGATGGGAGGAAACAAAACCCACAGAACTTATTGGCTCTGAGATTCCTGGGGTGATTCACTCTGCAGTGGTGCTCAACATCAGTCCTGCCATTTTGAAATCGGTTGTTTCCCTGTAGAGCAGGTAGGCCCATTCTGGAAACGGGAAAATAGAGTCTGTGGAGGGCTCCCCTAGGAGCCAAGGACAGAGAGAGAATTAAAGATATTAAATTAAATTAAAGAGAATTAAAGATAAGTTGAAAATGGCATCTCATGAGTGAGCATGTACACATGATAAAAGCATCCCTCAGGGACAAGGGGTCCTCACAAACAAGTGTTCTGGTAAGGCCACTGCCCACTCTACAAGATGGTGAGCTCCCCTTGTCTGGAAGTATTAAAACTAAGTAGGTGACCACCATTTGAACTGAGTGCTCCCTTTCTCTCCTCACCAGGTCTACTTGCTGAAAAGGACAGTAATTACTGTCTCTGCAGGACGCCCTGTAACCTGACCCGCTATAATAAGGAGCTCTCCATGGTGAAGATTCCTAGCAAGACTTCAGCCAAGTATCTTGAGAAGAAATTTAACAAGTCAGAAAAGTATATCTCGTGAGTAAAACGGATGAAGAAAATGTATGGGATAGGGAGGAGATAGGGAAAGGATAGCTGGAGACAGATAGGAAATGGGTAAGGAACATGAGGGGGTATACAGATAAGGAAACTGATTGGAGAAGACACTAAAAACAAATCTTCCTTCGTGGTGAGAAAAGTTAGACCGAGAAATATGGCACCCTTAGTCTCAAAAAAGATGAGACAGATCATTCACATTGACATATTCCTTTAAGGTTTATAATCTGACATAAGCTGTATGACCCTAGACAAGTCACTTAACCTTCTACTCAGTCCCAGATCAACTGAAATCTCCATTGGTATAAAGTGTTCCCACATTAGAAGTTCCCCCATACTAAAGAAACCACAACCCCTTCTTGTCTTCCCAAGGCTTATGAAGTATTCTCTATGAAGTATATAGTATAAACATTATTATTCCCATTCTGCAGATGAAGAAGCTAAAGTCACCCAGCTAGTGACTGACAAAGGTCTCCTGGCTCCAGCTGTGATGCTCCCCAAAGGCTGTTAAGGCATCATGTCACCAACCAGCCTCCAGGGGGCTCTGAAATGGGGATCCACTCCCCCCCCCACCTGTAATCCTTTTTGATCTCCCATGACTACCCCTCACTGGGAGATGTGGGCTTTGAATCTCCCTGCAAGCAGACTCTACTGAGAGAAGAGACAGCAGGATTTGCCAAGCCCTGCTGCTTTGTAGATATTCTCCAGGAGCACAATTACTTTGACTGCTGAGATGTGTGTTGGTGCCTTGTCTGCTTCCTGCTGCAAAACAGGATGGATTAATTTCCATCAGAAGCTCCCTCTCAACCTCTTTCCCAGCCCTCCCCCCACCCCAGCCAAGGCTGCTCGTGCTCCCTAAATACAGCCCCTGATATGAGGAACCTCCCAGGAAAAGCCCAGGCACTGCCTGCCTGATGCTTAGAGGGAAGAAGGGAATAAAGTTCCAAATTCCAGTATCCGAATGCAGCTAGGTGGTACAATGGTTAGAACTCTAGACCTTGAGTCAGGATGACCTGAGTTCAAATCCTGCCTAAGATATTTATAGCTGTATCTCCCTAGGCAAGTCAGGTAACTTCTCTGTAGCTCAGTTTCCTCATCTATAAAATAATAATAATGACATTTACCTCCCAGGGTTGTTATGAAGATAAAATGAGCTAATATTTATAAAGCTCTATGCAAACCTTAAAGCACTGTATAAATGCTACTTGTTACTATCATTATTATTCCATTTCATTCCGAGCAGAGAGGGAGGATAAGAAGAGGGGTATAAGGCTTGTGGGCAGCCAGGTGGCTCAATAGATAAGAGTGCTAAAGTCAGGAAGACTCATCTTTGTGAGTTCAAATCCAGCCTCAGACACTAACTAGCTGTGTGACCCTGAACAAGTCACTTAACCCCATTTGTCTCAGTTTCCTGATCTGTAAAATGAGTCAGAGAAGAAATGGCAAAGCACTCCATTATCTCTGCCAAGAAAACTCCAAATGGGATCATGAAGAGTCAGCCATGACTGAAACGACTGAAAAGAGCAAAGTAGGGCTTGTAGCAGACACCTGGTCTATGTCCAGCCTAAGCTTGGCTGAGCTCCTGTGACTAGAGCAGACTAGGCCAGAGCATTGGTGTCCCCTGCATGTTATCATGCACAAAAAGCTTTCATCTTTTGCTGTCCCACTTAAAGAATCTTGACTTCTTACAGAATAAATTCCCACATGCCACAGAAAGCAGAGAGTGGGATTTTCTGGTATTGAAGATATGTGCACTTATAACAAATAACCTTCCAACGTGGCTTTCTCCGTGCACCCACCCTGGAAGGTGACCACCTTGCCCCTAATCTCGGCTTTGATCCCAAGGACACAATTCCATGGAGGATCTGCAACCTGGAGACCAGATCGGGCAGGAATAGGGGATGGAGAGATAAAGGAGAAAAGGGAGTTGGGAAGCCTGCTTATAAGCTTCTAACTATTCCTCCAACAGAGAGAACATTCTCGTTCTGGATATATTTTTTGAAGCACTCAATTATGAGACAATTGAGCAGAAGAAAGCATATGAAGTCGCAGCCTTACTTGGTAAGCCAGAGATGCTATTCATGTCTTTCTAAAAATCTCACCAGAGATGTAGGTGGGTGGGTGGTGACGGTGTGGGCAGGCAGGGATCGATCTCTTCGGTGCCTTGCCAGGTGGTACCACTGAAAGTGCTAGGCCCAGAGTCAGAAGATCTAGGTTCCAAACCTAGATCTAACATTTCCCAGCTGTGTGACCCTGGATAAGTCACTTAACCTTTGTGAACTTCAGTTTCATAGTCTATAAAATGGGAGTAATTGACATTGGCATACCTCACTTATGAGGGGAAAAAAACTTTAAAAGCCATAGACAGCTCTATGAATGAGTTGTTTTTATTATTTTGGGGAGCTCATACTATGTTTTCCTAGTCCCAAAAGTGGAGAACCCTTCAACAAGCATTTATTAAATGTCTGCTATATGCCAGGCTCTGTATTAAGCACTTAATCCTCTTAAGAAGGGCTATAGGGGCAGCTAGGTGACACAGTGGATAGAGCACCAGCCTCAGAGTCAGGAGGACCTGAGTTCAAATCCAGCCTCAGATGCTTATTAGTTGTGTGACCCTGGGTAAGTCACTTAACCTTGATTGACTCCAGCAAAAAAAAAAAAAAAAAAAGGCTAGTAATGTGGTGGGAATAGCATGTCCTGGGATTGAGTAGACCTCAGCTATCTCATCCCACCTCTGCCCAAATCCCATCATTACATGACCTTGGGTGAGTAAATCTCTTTTCCTTTAGTGGCCTATTCCTTCTTCTATAATAATAAAAGCTAGAATTTATGTAGTGATTTAGGTTTACAAAGCATTATTGCATTATTTCATTATTATTATTATTATTATTGTTATTGTTATTATTATTATATGAGGAAACTGAGGCTGAGAGGTTATGACTTGCCCAGGATCACACAGCTAGTAGATGCCTGAGGTAGGATTTGAACTCAGCTCTTCCTGATTCTATGATCCTTCATTCCCAAACTAATGTTCTGGAAGTTGGGTGGAAAGAATAGTAATCCCCAGAGAAGGATCCTTAGGAGGCAGGAGCTAGGGAGAAGGCAGGAGCAGTCAGGCAAGAGCAGACTGGTTATACCCCCACCTATGAAGACCTCTACAGCCAGAAAGCCCTAGAGTTAGCTCTGTGAGGCTAGCGTTCCCCAGCAAAAGGCAAAATAAAGGCCCTCATTCCCCCATCCTGCTCTGACCTCTCACTGGAAGCTATATGGTTTGACAGTAGCACCTACAGAATAAATAAGTTCCTAGGGTTTCCATGGGTCTAGAAGAAAGGTCCATTTGACACTGGTTTCCCCTGGAGACTTAAACCACAGGTTTGAGAGGCCTGTCACAGGCCCCTGGAAAATATGTGATACCAAAGACTGTGCCCTTCTTTAATATCAAAACATCCAGAATTTAAAACATGATAAATTAGAGAATTCTGTGATTTCAGGAGAATTTCAATAGAAATTCAATAGCTTGTCTTTACAAAAGGGTTCCATTTAAATATAAAAAGGAGTATCCTAATAGAGGTATCTCAAAGTGAAATAAGGTACCTTGACAAATAGTAAGCTCCCCATCACTGAAAGTAATCAAACTTAGTAGACAAATACTATTGGGAATGAGGGAGATGTATGACACAGCAGTGATGTCAAACTCAAATAGAAAAGTGGTCACCAAACCATACATAAGAATCCCTGGGGGTCACATTTAGACCTAAAAGACCACTCTCTAGCATTATCTATGTTCAATTGCATTTTTATGTATGTTGTTAAATATTTGACAATTACATTTTAACCCAAAGGCCATATGTTTGACACCTTAAGAATTTATGTGCCAGGCACTGTGCTGAGAGCTAAGGATATAAAGGCAAAAGATAATCCCTGCTCTCAAAAAGTTCACAATGTAATGTGGGGGACTTAGGGATGGTTTTTACAGAGTCAAAGAATGTCAGAGCTGGAATGGACCCTCTCTTCCCCCAAGCAGCTTTCTAGATTAATCTGGACCTGAAAAAGAATCCCTTCTGCAACATGTTGGACAAGTGACCAAGTAACCATTGCTAATATGCCTCCATTGAAGGGGGGCCCATTATGTCTGGAGGCAGTCCATTCCACTTTTTGAATAGCTGAAATTACACTATGTTAGCTCTGGAAAAGGCTTTGGAACATAGAATGTTAGAACACAGCATGTTAGAACACAGAATGTTAGAAAGTAGAATGTTAGCCCTGAAATGGAACATAGAATGTTAACCCTAGAAGAGGCTTTAGAACATGGAATGTTAGGACACAGAATGTTAGAACATAGAATGTTAGCACTAGAAGAAATCTTAGAACATAGAATGTTAGCCCTGGAATAGCACATAAAATGTTAGCACTAGAGGATGCCTTAGAACATAGAATGTTAGGACACAGAATCTTAGCACTAGAACAGGCCTTAAAATGTAGAATGTCAAAACACAGAATGTTAGAATTTAGAATGTTGGCCTTAGAACATAGAATATTAGCACACAGAATGTTAGCACTAGAAGAGGCCTTAGAAACATAGAATGTTAGCTCTAGAAGAGGTCTAAGAACACAGAATGTTAGAATATAGAATGTTAGCCCTGGAATAGAACATAGAATGTTAGCACTAGAAGAGGTCTTAGAACACAGAATGTTAGCAGTAGGAGAGGTCTTAGAACATAGAATGTTAGCCCTAGAATAGAACATAGAATGTTAGCCCTAGAAGAGGTATTAGAACACAGAATGTTAGAACATAAAATGTTGGCCTTAGAACATAGAACACAGAATGTTAGCTCTAAAAGAGGCCTTGGAACATATAATGTTAGCACTAAAAGAGTTCTTAGAATATAGAATGTTAAAACAGAGAATGTTGGAACATAGAATGTTAGCCCTGGAAAAGAACATAGAACATTAGCCCTGGAAGAGGCCTTGGAACAAACAATGTTAGAACATAGTATGTTAGCATTAGAAGTGGTCTTAGAACATAGAATTTGAGAACACAGAATGTTAGAACACAGAATGTAGCCCAAGAAGTAGCCCTAGAACATAGAATATTAGCACGAGAAGAGGCCTATAGGTTCCCAAAGTGGGTGATACTGTCCCTTAGGAGGTAGTGATCTGGGGAGGGGGGCAGTAGTAGCCTTGGGTGCAATTGGGGGGTGTTGAATAAAAATAAGGGGCCAGTGGAAGCATAAGGAAAGAAGAGAAGAGAATTTTGAAAAACCATTTGTACATGTTTCATATGTTGCATAACAGAGTTAAAGTCATAGCGATTACGTTATTTTCCAAATAAACACACAAAATGCAAGTTATTACAGATCAGTGATCAAGTCCACTGACAAGCCTTAACAAGCAAGTGTTGGCAGGCAAGTGTGTTGCTCATTGTCAGAAAGTCCAGCGTGCGTTGGCAGGCATATGTGCATGTAATGACTTGTTTACAATAAGATACTATATGGTTACAAGACACAATATTGCATCATCAAAATTTCAATGCAGAAGGAACAAAACCACAAATTTACAATGAATTATTAACTTTAAGACACGTCATTTTTTAAATGTTTTATTTTTTTTAATGATGCAAATTTCAAAAAGAAAAAGCCATTAAAGGGTTAAAGAAAGTAGATTTCTGAGGAGAGGGGACTGAGTAATTTTTTTAAAAGGTAGTGGTAGGCCAAATAAGTTTGAGAACCTCTGCCTTAGAACCTGGAATGTTAGAACACACAACGTTGGAAAGTAGAATGTTTGCCCTGGAAGAGGCCTTAGTACATAAAATGTTAGAGCAGAGAATGTTAGCTCTAAGAAGGACCTTGGAGATCATCTAATCTAACCTCTCACTTTCACAGAGGAAGAAGCTGAGTCCCAGAGAGGGGCATTGTACTTGTCTAAGGCCACAGTTAGTTGGACTAGAACTGAGGTCCAGTGATTTCCAGACCAGCTCTTTCCACCATAACTATTATTCTCTATATGGCTTGTAGTTTATAGCAGGAAAAGAAGCCACGTAAAAACAATTGTTGATTCTAGATGGAAATTCCCTAATGTGATTGAGACCCTAAAAATTCAGTGGATGAAAGCATTTTACATGCTTTACTCATACAAAATTGCCTCGTTCATCTTTGTATTTTCCTGAACGCGGTGCATCTAGTAGGCACTTAAAATGTATGTTGAATGAATGAACTGAGCTTCTGAGATTGAATTACCCCAAACTCTGAATCAGTGGACCTCGGATTAATGAGGTTTTACTGTATCAGCATCTCCCAACGTGAATTCCAGTCAATTCAACTTAACAAGTATTTATTGAGAGCCTGTTTGCTATGTGTGAGGGTGAAGGCTCTTTCAGTCTTCAGAACAGAGCATCATGGCCTATCAGCGTTGGGAGGGGACTCCAAGATCACCTAATTCGATACTTCTTTTCGAGAGGGAGAGAAATGGAAGCGTAAGGAGAGTGGGAGGAGGGAGACAGAAGACCTACCCAAAGTCACATGGCTGGTTGACTGCAGGGGCAGCACCCCAGTCCTGTGTGTTTGCATCTACCACTTTATCTTGGCCTAAGCCTGAGCACTGAAATTCAGGGGAAACAGCAGACGGTGAAATCTCTCCTCCACTGCAGCAGGGGCAGGAGAAGATGAACATTTCCCATCTTCTATTCTGGATGGCACAAGGGATTGAGCACCAGACTTGAAATCAGGAAGAATTGAATTCAAATCCTGCCTCAGACACTTACTAGCAATATATCTCTGGGAAAATCACTTAACATCTCTCAGTCTCAGTTTCTTCATCTATAAAATGGGAACGATAATAAGGCCTACTTCACAAGGTTGTTATAAAACAAGATATCATGTAAAATGCTTTGTAAACTTCAAGATACTATAGAAATGATAGTATTATTTGTTGTTGTTTCATCACTTTTCAGTCATATCTGACTCTTAGTGACTCCATTTGGGTTTTTTTTTGGCAAAGATACTTGAGTGGTTTGCCATTTCCTTCTCCAACTTATTTTATACATGAGGAAACTGAGACAAATAGGGTTAAGTGACTTGCCCAGAGTCACACAGCTAATAAGTTTCTGAGGCTGGATTTGAACTCAGGAAGGGGGGTCTTCCAGATTCCAGGGCCAGCATTCTATCCACTGAACCACCTAGCTGTCTCTAGTATCACTATTACCCCTAAAATCTGCTCTTCAGAAAAAAAAAAACTAAGAAACTCATCCAAAGGAGGATAAAATGACTGAGAAGCCAAATGTGTTCTCTGTGGTAGAGAAAACAGAATTTAACAGATGAGAACACTGAGGCAGGCAGAAGCTAGGTAACTTGGTCAGGGTCACACAGCTGCTAAGTGTGTGAGGCAAGATTTGAACTCAGGTCTTCCTGACTCTAGGTTTAGTGCTCTATCCATTGTCCCATCTGGTTGTTTTAAGAGGTAGTGAGTTCCCCATCCCTTGAGGTCTTCAAGCACAGACCGGATTGCCACTTGTCTCAGGGATATTGGAGAGAGGATTCCTGTTCAGGCACAGGTGGAACTCAGAGGCCTTTGAGATCCCTTCCCACTCTATGAGTCTGAGATTCCCAGCCAGGGTGGGAGCTAGTGTGGTATGGTGTAAAGGGTGCTAGATTTAAAACCAGGTAACCTGGGTTCAAAACCTGGCACTTAGTACCTTTGTGACCTTGAACAAGTCATTAAACTACTCTGAGCCTCAGTTTCTTTAACTGTAAAATGAAGGGCTTGGATTAGATGTCCTCTAAGGTACCTTCTGGCTGTAGCCCTAAGATCCCATGGTCACAACAGTCAGCTTAACGAGTATTTATCGAGAGCCTGCTATGGGTAAGGCTTCAGTCCATTGATCTTATTGACCTTCTCAGAATGGACACCATCTGTGTTTGGCCTAAACCAATAGAATGAGGCTCTAAGGCTGGAAACTGGAATTGGGGCACACGCTGAGTCAGGGGAAGTGTTGGGGGAACAGCAAGGCCTTCATGGCACCCTCCACCCCACCCCACCCCCCGCTTATGCCTAAAGCCGGCTCTGCCCAGGACTCAACCTGAGACTCCAGACGCCTGGCGCTGAGTTCCAAGGTGAATGGCTTCTCCGTCCCTCACTCTGCTTCCCCAAGGTTGAGGCCTGGAACACAACCCAGGCACAGATTTCCCAACAGTACGTAGGGTTCATAGCCAAGCCACGCAGGTTGCTATGGCACTGACATGGAGGAGCTCTGGGTGACACGACCTCCTCGCCCTGGGAGACCAGCATCTTCACCTGTCGTCATGAGATGTCATCCCCAGCAAGAGATGGAAAGGCTTGCCAAGCCTCTCACTGGGTCTGACCTTTATTTCCTGCACTGAATTCATGATGTGTTCTCATGCCACCTCCATTAAGAAAGACAGAAAGGAAAGGGAAGCTTAAAATCTGATCTGCCAATGGTGTTTGTACTAGCTCTGATGGGGAGAGGAGCTCATTCCCAGCATCGTCCTCCTCCTCCCCAAAAGTGAACAGTACTGCCTGTCTGCCCATCCTTCAGCAGGGAAGGGGCTGCCTGAACACCCCGGAGCCTGCCACCCAAAAGGCTTCTCCCTCCCCTTCACCCCCATACACACATACACACACATATATATATACCACACATATATATACATACACATACTACACACCCATAAACAACATATACACACAGTGCACATACACAGAACATATACCATACACATATACACACTTAAACCACATACAGACAGTACACACACACAGAACACACACATATATACACACATAGCCACACACATGCATACACACATAAACAGCATGTAGTACATGCATATACACATAAACCACATGCACACACTTACACACGTACACATACCATATAGACACACACACACACACGCTTTTACTCCAGCCTACCACCCCCTCTAGAGAAACAACCTCAGGCAGGAAAGGGATCAACTTTTGGAGATGCTATTTGCGCTGCTGCCCAGACTGACACCTGGGAATTTTCTTCCATAGGTCTCTTACGGCCAACCTCTATAGCCCCCTCTGCGTCTCTACCTTGCCACTAAACTCCATTCCAGTCTCCACCCCCTGAGTCTCCTGGGCATCCCCACTTTCTTCCTCTTACCTCATTCAAGATGGTGATAGCATTTTTCAAAACTGACTTTACTAGAAATTTAAGATAAACAAGGTAAAAGAAAGACAATTTATTGTTGTGCAGTTGTGTCTGACTCTTTTTTTTTGGCAGAGACACTAGAGTGGTTTGCCATTTCCTTCTCTAGCTCATTTGACAGGTGAGGAAACTGAGGCAAACAGAGTTAACTAACTTGACCAGGGTCAAACAGCTAGTAAGTATCTGAGGCCAAATTTAAATTCAGATCTTCCTGACACCAGGCCTGGTGCTCTATCCACTGAGCCACCTAGCTATCCCTTATAGAGGCTAGAAATAAAAGCCATAGAATGGGGAAACATCATAGACTCTAGTGCTGAAAAGGACCTCTGAGACCATAGAGTCCAATTCCTTCATTTTACAGATCAGGAAACTGAGGCAGGGAGGTTAAGTGATTTGCAGATTTATCTTCTGCAACCAAGAACATCTGGAAGTCCTTACCATCTATAGGGATCACATGCATGCAGAAACACATCCCAATATTCACAAAGAGAATTTCACCTTGGGGGAAGAGTCATTGTGACTATTGGACACCAGCCTCTGGAAGACCATCTCAGCCACCCATGGCGGTTTTATGTTCTTCTTGTTGTTTGTCCTTCATTCTTGAAGAGGACCAATGACATCAGGAGGGTGATGTCTTGACTTACAAGTGAATTGGATTTAAGTGAGGCAGGGCTATGCAGTCATCAGCCTCACTTTCTCCTCTGGAGCCATCTGGATCCTGTGGCAAGACATAGATCAGGACAACTGAAGATGGCCCCAGATACAGTGGGAGATTTTGGCCTTCTAAAGTTAAAGTCTTTTATGGGTCTTAGTTTGTCTGAGGCAACACCCATTCAGTAATCAAAGGCTAGGTAAGAATTGAGGCAAAAGGTCTGCCGTATGTTCTGAGTCAATTCCAAAGGCAGGAGCATCCAGCCTTCATTCAGTGAGAGAACAACAGAGGCAATGTAGATCCTATAACCATAACTGCATGCAAGTCATGTGTGCGAATTCTGACTGTCATCCTGGCCTGGGAGATAGCCCAAGCCTTCTTTTTCATTCCTTATTATGGTTTCTCCATCTGCAGAGAGAACTTTGGGGATTCTTGCCAAGGTCTTATAAGACAGGGTACATGACCACATTATCTCGGAGGAGTGTGGGGTAGACACACCACAGAAGCTACCTCCCTGGGGAAAATAAAAATGGACTTTTCTCTTCTCTCTACAGGGGACATCGGTGGTCAGATGGGATTGTTTATCGGTGCTAGTATCCTTACAATCCTAGAGCTCTTTGATTACATTTACGAGGTAAGATCACAGTTGTTTCTAAATTCCTACGACATGTGATGTTCTCTAGGCTCTGACCCTGAGGCCCTCTCCCTACACTCCAGTCCTCAAATTTACAGAACCAAGCTCTAAGATGTACTGTGCCACAAACCACAGGAAAGTGAGTGTGGTTCTGTGGACAAAGCTCTGGCTCAAGTGTCAGAGGCCCTGACACTACATGGGTAAGCTTGGATAAGACGCTTCAGCTTCTTCATCTGTAAAGTGTGTGAGCTGAACTAGGCGGCGTCTGGGGTCCCTTCTACTTCTTGATCTTGGACATTATGACAAACTATCCCCATGGATCCCTACCTCTGTCGATCATGTCCACCCCCAAAGACTGACTGCAGACAAGTGACCAAACCTTAAGCCCATCAGCAATAAGAGTTACTGAAATCTCTCTGTAAATAGAGCTCTGTCCTAGGCACAATGGCGAGAGAAGAAAGAATATGGTCTCTTACATTAAATAGTTATCAAGGGTGTGATCAAGTGGCTATTGAGTGACCCACGTTAGAGGTCAAGGCTATGCCAAAGACAGAATGAAACATCCTTTCATCCCTTCCTCCCTACCACTCCTTTCCTCTTTGTCCTTTTCTCCTCCCCTCCTTTCCCCTGGCTTTCCTTTTTCTATACTCCCCCTTTTCTTCCTTCTCCTCATTTCCCTTCTTTCTTCTTCTTTCTTCTCTTATTTTCTCTTCCCCTTTCCCTCCTTTTTTCTATCCTCTCTTCCTTCCTATACTCCCATTTCCTTCCTTTCTCCCACAACACCCTCCGACTTACACCTGCCTAGCTTTGTTGCTGGTTTCAACCTCCATCTAGAAATGAAAGCCCTGGTTTCTGGCATCTATAGATATGAATATAGATATAGATATAGACATATACATTTATTTATTATATGATCTATATGTGTATGTATATGTATGTTATATGTGTATGTGTCTATATATATACATACCTATACATGTGTGTATATCTCCAAGCCTGCCTATTCTGAACAATATCCACCTTAGCGAAATTCCATATATAGATTGATATGCATGAATATCTGTGCATTATGTGTACAAATCTATGTACTGATGTGTATATTTGTGTTTATGCATGAATCTCTCTAAGCCCCAGGCAAATGGTTTATCAATTCTGAACAATACACAGTAGAGAAAAATTCCATTCTAACCTCAAGCAGCCTTCAGAGGTTTTCTGCCAGAAGATCAGGTGTGTTAAGCCCATTCGCTCCCACCTTGTATATATGCACTTATTTATACACATATATATGTGTATACTATTTATATATATAACACATAATATATGCATATATCATATTTTTTTTTAAATTTAGTGTGCCTAGGTGTAAAGCTGCTGTTCCTGCTGTATATGGTGTGGTGACTCTGTGAGGTCCTGATACTTGAGCCCATCCAACTCTGTTTCTTTTTCAGCTGATAAAAGAGAAGTTGTTAGATCTACTTGGGAAAGAGGAAGAGGAAGGGAGTCACGATGAAAATGTGGTAAGAGGGGATTATGGGTTTAAGGTTTGACTCGGGGTTTTTTGTTTTCACAAAAGTCAAACCAGCCAGAGCTATTGGGACTAGCCCTTCAAATTTCCTTCAGAGCTGCTCAGAGATCCCAACAATGTAAAGGCTTCGCATCCTCGCATATTCCGTGCCTTCAGTGAACATTTTTCTAGCCACGATAGGCTGACATCTCTGGGCACACTGCAGGATTTTGTGCCATGACAGCAGGCCTGTCCAGAGATAGCCCTAGCCTGGTTGCTTCAAGGCCTCAGGAGGCTTCACCAGACATTCCCTACTTCATTCAGAAGTGGAAGGCCTGTCTGTCCCCATTGGGAACCTCTGTATTTCATTCTCAAAGCAGGACAAACCAGAAAGGTAGTGTGTGGATTAGGTGAGTGAGCATCCTTGTGGGTCGAGCAGCACTGGCATGTAAACCTCAGCGACATTGATTGCGGCTAAATTAACAGATCCAAGAGAGCAGTTCCCAAGCTGCCTCCCATTACAAGCTAATGCTAATCAGGTGTTAGCAGGAGCAAGCAAAAGAGCTCATGCACCCAGAAGAATGATGTGTGTTACAGAAAAAACAAATAGAAATCAAAGTAACCCTAAATTTGACTTCCCCCACCACCAAATCCTTGAGATTCAAGGAAATCTGAGGCGTAGGCCACAAATGAGCTAAGAGATCAATGGAGTTCGGCCACCAGGCTAGGAGAGGCACTGGAAGGGGACCCAAAGAAGTCACAGTGGGAGACAAAAAACCCTGGAGATTCTGAGTAAGCTGACTCTCCCCTTATAGCACAAACTATAAGGGGGTGCTTCTTAGACCCCCTTTTACTTATCTAGAAGTAAAAAAGCAGTATGGGGACCTTGTAGGCAGCTAAGTGGCATAATAGCCAGTTAGCTATTATGACAGCCAAACTTGGGATCAGGAAGACCTGGGTTCAAACTCTGCCCAGACACTGTACAACTCTGAGCAAGTCACTTAAGCTCTCTGAGACTCAATTTCTTCAGCTGTAAAATAAGAGATTAGGGCTCAGTGGCCTCTAGGGTCCCTTCTAGCTTTAAATAAATGATCCTATGACCCCTGCCACCATCTTCCTAGTAAACAGGTGCCCTAGATGTGTCCAAATTCCACTCCAGGCCACAAATTGGGAAATCATTGATCAGTGGGCCCCAAGGGCCCCAAGGGTGGAGTACCAAGGGTACATATTGAAAATGAACCATCCACTGTTTAATATATGAGTACCTCAATCCTAGATAGTGCTATGCACTACTGAGAGTCATTGCTATTCATATACTTCAAACAACTAAGAATTTATTCTTCTGGAGCTTTGATTTGATCAATCCAAAAGCAGTTATTAGGCATTAGTGTATAACAGGTACTGTCCTGGGTGCTTGGGATAGCAAATATGAAGAATAAAACAATCCTTACTCTCAAGGAGCTTCCATTCTAATATGCTAATAGGGTACGGTTTTTTACAAAACCACAGCAGGCAATCTAGGGCATGACTTCTATCCCCTGGTGACTATGTCCTTCCTTGTCCCTCTTCCTTTTGACTTTCAAACATGCTCTGATCTCTCTTGATAAAAGAGAGAGAGAGAGAGAGAGAGAGAGAGAGAGAGAG